ACAGATTATCGAGAGCCCAGAAATAAACCCTTGTATGTATACGGTCAACTGGTTTTTGACAAGGGAGCCATGACCATTCATTCAACGGAGAAAGGGAAAACTGGATATCCACCTGCAAAGGAATAAAGTTGGATCCTTATGGAACACCTTTAAAAATTTATTCAAAATAGATTAAGAACCTAACTGTAAGACCTCAAACACTACAACTCTTAGAAGAAAACAGCACAAAAGCTTCACGGCCACTGACTCGGCAATGATTTCACGGATAAGATATACTATGGGCACAGGTAATACAAGGAAAAAACAGACAAATTTGACTTCATGAAAATTAAAAAAATTTGTACATCAAAAGGCACTACCCACAGAATAAAAGGGTACCCCACAGAATGGGAGAAATATTTACAGATCCTGTTTCTGATCAGAGATTGATGTCCATAGCAGACAGAGAAGTCCTAAACCTCAGCAATGGGAACAGGACAAACCCAACTCAACGGACAATCGAGACGTTTCTCCAAAGACACACAAATGGCCAATAAGCGCATGAAAAGATGTTCAACACCACTGATCATTAGGGAAGTGCTGATCAGAACCCACGGGGATGGCTGGGATCAAGCGAACAGGAAACAGCCAGTGTTGCTGAGGATGCAGATGGAGCCCATGTGCGACTGTCGGGAACGTTAAGATGGTGCAGTCAGTGTGGAAAACAGCACAGGAGTCCTCAAAGGAATTAAACACAGAACTACCACATGATCCAACAATTCCACTTCTGGGTATATACTCAGAACAACTGAAAGTAAGGTCTCGAAGAGAGATTTGTTCACAGCAGCATTACTCATGATGATGAAGATGTGGACACAACCCATGAATGGATGAGCAAGATGTAGTCCATTCACATGACGGAATAAGCTGATTCAGCCTTAAAGAGGACACAAGTTCTGTGACATACTACAACTTAAGGACATTATGTTAAGTGCAATAAGCCAGTGACAAAAGGACAAATACAAGTATTATTCCTCTTACACAAGCCACTCGGAGGCGTCGAGCTCACAGCAAAAAAAGTAGAATGGTGACTGCCAAGGGTTGAGGGGAAGGGAGACAGGAGAGTTACCATTTAATAGGTATCGAGTTTCAGACTAACCAGAGTTATGGGGATGGAAAGTGGTAATAGCTGCACAACCATCTGAATGTATTTAATACCACTGAACTCTACACCTAAAAATGGTTACGATGGTAAGTTTTTTTTTTGTTCTGTATATTTTAACTAAGTGTAAAAAAAAAAAAAAAGGTAAAACAATGAGCCATCAAGCCACAAAAAGACAGATAGGAACCTTAAATATATACATATTGCTTAAGTGAAAGAAGCCAATCTGAAAGAGCTGTGTATCTATTCCATAGGATCCATATATTCCAATGTATTCCACAGATCCACCTACAGGACATTCTGGAAAAGGCAAAATGACAGAAACACTAAAAAGACCAGTGGTGCCAGGGCTTGGAAGGGAGGAGGGGACCACACGGAGCACAGGGATTTTTAGGGCAATGGTAGGATACTGAGGTTACCCATTTATCAAAATACAAGTGCTAGACAGTACACTGTAATATGCAGGAAGGTCTTCGTTAGTAACCATGTATCCATGTTGGTTCCCAACTTGAGGGAGTGCACCCCTGGGCTAACAGGTGGGCCAGCATGGGTGGTCAGGCCGCATGTAAATAAACCGTGGCAGGAAGAGGGTCGAACTCCTCCCTGTGAGCACGCTGTGAGAAGGCCAATCAGCACCAGCTTTCTGGAGGGCAAAACTCTGCAACCGGAACCTGTAGGCCCCTGGCCCAGCTGCCCTGTTGTACAGAATCTGTCCAGAAATAAAGGACGGGCTAAAGATAATGGACTGAATAAACACGTGGGTAGCTCCTTCGACATAAGATCCCTAAAGTTTCCTTCACTGACTGACAAATTCACGATAGCACTGGGAACCATTAAGATGGAAGACATTTTGAATCAGGGGCTCCAGGTAGCCCTCGGAGACCATGCCAGGGAAGCCGCCCTCCCTCCCCCGCCACTCCCTAACACCCCTTGCACCCTCCCCTCCACTCCACACCAGCGACCAGCCTCATCCTCCAGGGAGCACAGGTGCAGGTACACCTCCAGCCCCTCGCCAGGCACCCCCCCAGGGCCCCAGCACACTCCTTCCTGGCCCTCAGCACTCCTCCTCTCCATCCCGCCCACCAGCAGCACAGACAGCTGCTTGCTTATCTCCACAAATAAAACTCCCCCCTGGAGCCATGTTCCCCTTCAGTTACTGTCCACTCCTCCATGGCTAAACCTCTTCAAATGCCTCACCCCAGCCCCACCTTCACCCTCTGGACCCAGCAACATTCCCACTGCTCCAGGGAGAACGTGATCACCAGTGACCCCATGTGGCTGAGTCCAGCCGTCTTTTCTCCATTCTGATCAGAGCTTGATCCAACGCCGCTGAGCAACCCTCATTTCCCCTCCAGACTGACATGACCCCACACTCCCTTCTTTCACTCTCCTCTCCTGGGCCCTCTTCCACTGCCCTCCACAAACACGGCTTGCTCCTAGGCTGGGCCCCAGCCCCTTCCCCAGCTATAGCTTCTCCAGGAAACCCTGTTCAGTCCCATGGCTTTAAATGTCCCTGACCTCATCCCGACACTGCAGACAAACACACGAAACTTTAAGAGGATAGGTGCTGGCTCTCGGGCATCAGCACCTAAGGAGCGTCTCAAACTCAATGCCTCTCAAAATTTTACTGTGCTAGGAGTTCCAAAAATATCATTAAATATTCCCTGAAAGGAAGAAACATTTGGATACAATAAATGGTGGTGAGTGAAGTAACCGATCAGATGTGTACTTACATCTAATTATGGCTGTGATGGGAAAGCTGGGAATAGGGAACCAAGATCATAGACAGTCCTGGCCAGGGGAGCAGAGGGGAGGAGCCGGGGGCGTGGAGCACAGCAGCAGATCAGCTCTGAAGTGTTACACAGAGATGAGCTTCAATGATTATTGTTAAAAGCCAAAAGACATCCACTAGAAGAGCAGAAAAAGAAACGAGAAAACCTAACAAATTAAAAAATGAAACAGGCACAGATTCCAACTTATTAATAATCACAAGTAAATGGATTCAATTGCTCTATAAAAAATGAAGACCCACAGATTGAGTTAAAATGCAGCTAAAAAAAATAAAGGGATATAAAAAAGTTTGAAAAATAAGGGGATAGAGAAGTAACACTTAAACTGGGGCAAAGAAGGGGTGCTCCATGTTGACAACCGTCAGGAACACCTGAGCATCTGACACAGGGTGGGGAGACATCCAGCAGAACCGGGCACCTCTGCGCTCTCTCGCAGGGATCGAGGGATTCAGGAAGTCCGGGCGCAGATCTGTTGACTCACAAGCCAGACTCAGGCTCAGTGAGACAGAGAACAATGTAACCAACTACTGGGGCTGATACATTCTTCTCAAACCACAATGAAACAGTCACAAAAACAAGCCAATCTAAACCACAATGAAATCCCAAAAAAGAGCCCCCAAAGTAGCTATCTTTATGTGACCAAATCACTGGACCTTGAAACAATAAAGTTTAAAAATCATCACAAAAAAGAGAGGGGGAAAACACACGGGTGAAACAGGTGAAGGGGATTAGAGCACACTTCTCTTGATGAGCAGAGTCCTGTCTACGATTGTACACCTGAAACTAATACAACACTGCACGTTAATTACGTTGGAACTTAAAAAAAAATCTTAAATAAATAGAATATTTGAACCTGTCAAAAAAAAAATCAAAAAATTAGCTCCCCTGCCTCAACCCATCCACTTGAAAAACTTCCAAGCCCTTCTAAATCAGTTAAAGAGGGAATAAAGATTGAACTAACTATTCAGAAATGAACAGCAATGAGAGGAGCACGAGATAAATCCTCGGGGGGGACCAACGGGATGGAAGAAGCGAAACACCTTCAAGAGTATGTATCAGGAAATATAAACTGCACATGCAGAATATAAGCGCTTCCTTCCAGGAGCCAGAACAACAAAATAAAACCGAAGAAAAGTAGAAAGAAGTGAGGATTAATGAAGTGGAAACAGCAAAGCAGCCTTGCTCGATGGAGCGAAGGCTTAGTTTGAAAAGACCTGTAATCGTGACAGACTTGGGGAAGTCTGACCGAGAACAGAAAAAGGTACCAAAGTAGTACCAGCTACGAGAAACTACAAAAACCGCTTTAAAATGATAGCAGACCAGTACATCGGTGGTCCTCAACTGGAGCTGTTCTTCCCCCAGGGTGCATTTGGAAATGCACAGGGTGGGTCTGTTTTTCCGCTTTTGTTTTTGGTTGTGCTGATGGTTGTTGCCCTGGGGTCCAGGAGGTCCTAAACAGCCTGTCACACTGAGAGCCTCCCCACGAAGTGTTCATTATGTCCAGGAAGACAAATATTGATCCAGATTAAATGAACAATAAGCAGAAAAACATCTTCCACGATACACAGCAGGTAAAAAATACTATACTCAAAATGCAAAGAATAACTAGAAAGCAATTTTTACAAGCACTAGTAAGACGAAAAGCATAAACAGAGCCAATAAACATATAAAATATATATCCAACCCATCAGTATAGGTATAAAGACATGTACATAAAAGCATAGAAAATAATCTAAAAGATTACACAAGAAATTTTAACAAGGACTAAAAGGTGGGAGGTGAGAAAAGGGAACTCTCACCACTTCTTAGCCCATATATTCCTGTAGTATTTTAAGTTTTACAAAACGAATATATTCGGGACGCCTGGGTGGCTCAGTCGGTTGGGCGTCTACCTTCGGCTCAGGTCATGATCCCAGAGTCCTGGGATCGAGCCCCACGTCAGGCTCCCTGCTCAGTGGAGAGCCTGCCCTCTGCTTGCTGCTCCCCCTGCTTGTGCTCGCTCTCTCACTCTGACAATTAAATAAACCTTTTAAAAAAAAAGAATATATTCTACTTAAAGAGATGCTTAAAATTTTAAAGAAATTATTAACGTTCAAAATGGCATAACCTCAAGGATATTCACTAAAACACAAATAGAAAGAAACTCCCCGTGATTTTCAGAGTCTCCTACCATTTCTCTAATAGTTTACTGTGCCTACTTCATTCTGCAGCGAGCCGTTAACTCGGCTGGAAGTGAGGTTTGTGCGAGGGGTGCAGCGGAAGCGGCCTCTCCCGTTTCGGTGGGAGACCACGCAGTGAGTAGTCGTGGCTCTCCCAGCGGACGTGAAATGCCTCCCTTCTCCTGGGCTAAACTCTCACAGCTACAAATGCCCCTCGAGCGCCCCGGGGCGAAGTAAGCTTCCAAGCGAGGCTCCCTCACTACAAAGTACAGCTACTTTTAGAGCCTCCTCCCGAGACAGCTGGGCGCTCTCGACACACACAGACGCTCAGGGACCATCAGCCACGCAGCACGAAACCCGTCCCAACGACCAGGCAGTGTGGGAGCGCGAGGCTCTGGTACTGACCGCGGCTGAAGGGCAGCAGGCCGCTCAGGTAGGGGAAGCTCACTCTCCTCAGCTCGTCCAGCTTCTCCTGCAGCTTGCGCACCTGGCTGTCGGAGCGGCTGACCCTCTGCCGCAGGGTCTTCAGCTCGCCGTTCTTCTTTTCCACCTGCTCCCGCAGGCAGCACACCTGGCTCTTGTTCTGTCGGGAGGAGAAGCAGTAGGAGTGCAGCGAATCGATGAGTTTGCAGGCCCCCGACGCCGACAGGATGACCTCGTTGATGGACATGGGGCTGGCGTCGCTGCGCTCACTCTGCACGGCTTCGGCTGCAGGCTTCGGGGTGACGTCTGCCGGAGGGGCAGAGGGGCTCTGGGAGGGCTTCTGAGGCGTGGCTGTGAGTGATGAACTTGGGGGGCTCTGGGCCAAGCCCTTGTCGGGCCCCAGGCTGGTCCCGCTGCAGCCGGGCTCCACGTCTCTCTTCAGCCTCTTTCGGTCAACAGGCTCTCGGGGGACAGATGCCCTCTCTCGAGTGTGCTTGGAGGAGAAACTGTAAGAATGAAGTGAGCCAATAAACTTGCAAGCTCCAGACCCTGGCGGGGTAAAGTCGTCCATGGAAATGCCGCTCTTATCCACCAGGTCACCGTGGTCGGGGGCGGTGCTCTCACCACCAGCATCCACAGCTGCTCCCTGGCTGCCCGCCGCAGCCGTGGCCAGACCATCGCCTGCAGTTCCTTCCGGGGCCTGCAACGTGCGCTCCGGACTGGTGGCTTCTTGGGAGGCCCTGGGCGCAGTTTCATTCTGCAGTGCAGCCTGCTTCACCTTCCGGGACCCTGGCTTGGCCATCAGGTTTTCACCCGAGGACGATGATGAACCTGTAGCTCCTTTCCCGTCCGCCCCGCTCACGTGTCCCCTCAGGCCCCCCGAGGCCTTCCTGGTGACCTTTCTTCTCGTGCGGCCATGACCTCCAGTGCCCCTCTTCTTCTCGGGCAGGTGGAAGATGGAGGGCACCGCCGTGGGCTTGAGCAGACGATGCTGATCCTCCAGCCTTTTGGAGAAGCTGTCTTTGGTGAAGTGTTCACTACAGAGGAAAGAATACTTAGTGGGGGTCCAGTTATCCCTCTGAACAGCTTTTAACCACTGGATCAGACGTTTTGAGTCTTTTAGGGGGAACCTGCAGGAAAAATGACAACAGAATTAGAAAGAAGTAACTACGTGTCTCCTCCCAAATTTATCAACTATAATAAGGCAAAACAAGTGTTTCTGCAAATACCCAATCCTGTATTGACTCTACCCATTTAAAATTTTAGTAAAAATTTAAGGAACACCTTCCACGTGGAAGTAATCACGAGATAGAAAGATAATGGACTCATTGCCTACCCTTAAGGCGCTTACAACTGGTAGGGCAGATAGAGAATGAAGGTAACTCCTCCCAGGCTGTGGTAAATGCCCCGTAGGAGAGATTGCACAGGATGGCATCTAACAACAGGAAAGGCTTCAGGAAGCCTTGGAAATAGTTGCTAGAATCACACAGCTGAACAACCCTCCTGGTGTGCCTCGGATGCAGGCTGGGTGCTAAAACAGGGGTGGTTGGCTCCCCTCCCTGCTCAGAAGCCAGGTCTGGCGCTGGCCAGCAGAAAGGGGAGCAAAAAGCCAGAAGAGCATCCCAGACGGTGCCTGAGCCCAGCCTGAGCTGTGACTCAAGCAGCTGAGGATGCGAGACAGACTCTAAGACGAGGTCAGACTCAACAGTCCCACTGCCAGGAGCAAAACTGCTTTTTAAAAAGCAACCAGCTCCCGGAAAATACTGAATAAGATACTTAGTAATTATTTCTTCTCTTTTAAACAAGATTTCTATTTAGAAAACTGGGAGGGAACTCTATCCAGGGGCGGGGTGGTTATTCTGGAGGGCTATCTCCTCCACCTGAGGTCATCTAACCCACCTGTGGCCACTGTGGACCAGAACCAGGACCAAGACGGATACTAACTCCCCAGGAAGTTCTGTGCAACACGACCTTCTACACTTCCTCAATGCTTTGTGAACCCATTTCCCGAAGTCCCCAATTCCCACATCCTTTGCCCCATACCAGCAAAGACCATTGTGAAGGCCAAGGGCAGCCTTCTCTGCAGTGCTTTGCCCGGTTTTTGAAAGCAGTATCAAAACTTTCTGGACACAGGCTCTGAAGGAAACTCTCAAGGAAACATGGTGGCTGGCTTCTAACACAATGTATTGCCAGTTCTTTTGACAGATTGTAACAGTTTAAGAGAACAAACCACTGCGAACTTCCAATAAAACTACAAGTAACAAATACCACTGGAGTCTCTAAAACCTAACTCCCTGTACCCTAAAACAGAAATATCTGCGAGGAGGCTTTCCAGGGAGCCAGCCGGCAGAAGAGGACTCGCTGAATCAGGCTGAATTCCAGAAGCCCTCAGCAAGGGAGCCAGGCCAGCGAGAAGGCAGAGCCCTGTCCCTGCCTCCGCGTCCAAGCAAGAAGCGGCGAACAGGGCCCCGTCCGCGAGTCGCAGGGCGAGCCTCCGGCTGCAGAGCCGGCCTCGTCCTGCTCCAGCGCAGGATGCTGCGAGGCCGCCTGTCCAGGGACGCCCCGCCGCGCAGCAGGGCCACCTCTCCCCGCGTGCGGGAGCGCGTGTCAGTCCTCGAGGTATAACTTGCATTTACTCAGCCGCACAGATCAAGGCAGGCTCCCTTGCGATCAAAAGAGCAAAAAAGTCACAGCAAATGCAAGAGGACAACTGACCCAAGAGCGTTTCCAGAACACACTGTCTGGAAATTGGCGGTGCCAGCCCGAATCAATGGAGCCCAGGGTGGCCGCGGAGTGGGGTGGGGGGGGAGAGGGCGGTGGTGGCCGTGGGATGGCCTCCGGGTGGCCTCCAAGTCGGCGTGGGGTGGGCGCCGGGTGGCGGAAGGACGAGAGGCGCGG